ATAATATTGATAATAACGAATTAAAAACTAATGTTGTTTCTCTCTTCTTAATATTTCCAAAACAATTGTTTAAAAAAATATTATAGTTAAAAATAACTTATATATAAAATACGCTTACTTTAAGACCACATCGTAGCCCCTGGTTCCGACATCCGTTCAGGAAGTTCACTGCATCCTTTCGGAGTTTCAATGACCATTAAATGGATATTTTATTTGTTGAAAATTGTTTCAATTGAGCACAATCTGGTTTACAAATTCATGTAATGGATTAAATAATATTTCGAAGTTTAGTTACATCCTATATAACTTAAAAGTAAAAACACATTACACGTTCGCAGCCTTTTTTACACATGCATTACTTGTGACTTTGGATTTATCGATAATTTCCACGCTTGACGGTTATGTGATATCCCGTTGCGGCGAAAAGTCGATACCTTAATTTATATAATTAGGCTAACAATTGAGCACAGAGTCCCTCGGATGGTAAGTGAATACTGTGGTCTGTAGACATTTATAACCATCCTCAATTAAAAATCTAAGTACAGATTCATCAGTTTCAAGGACCTAGATAGAATTAGCCTCATCTCCAGTAAAAAGTGACTTCGTAAGCATACGAAACACGGCAGCTTCAAACTGCTGTTTTACGCTTATCTTTTGTGAGTTATATATGATGAAAATAATAAACAAAGAGTATCATTAATTGGCATACCATTAGACAATTAACACATTAACGCTGCGTCATACTTCGTACAATCTCTGCACATTGACACGCGCTTGTGTTGTTCCATTCTTTGAATTGAAGCGTTGTTAAACGTTGCTTGGAAAGTAATGCTATGCTACCTTACCTTTTCTTGGCTTTTATTTCAGGCATTTGCAAAAACATTTTTGTTCTTTTCATGTTATAAATATGTTATAAGGATACCTTAATACTTTTAGTCTAGGCTTATTTTGTTAAACGAAAAAACTCGAGCCGAGGCATCATCCATTTAAATTTAAAATTGAATACTTTTTAAGATTGAATAGCAGATAACCAAATTGTATGTTGAAAATATTACGAACATTTTTTATAGATAAAATGTGACGAAATATAATCTTATGTTATATAGTTCGTCATTCACTGTTCACGTGTCGAAAATAATCTTAGCTTTCCATATGAGTGTCGTAATAGTTGACAATAAGGAATGTCCAGAAAATTCCGTTTTAATAGGCGGGCTATTACCATCTCTTTTATTATTATTTACATATTTAACTTCATATGCATCGTATGTATAGTAGCTCTGTCAGCATATTTGGTCTATCTATATGATCCCAAGTTCGAATTCCGGCTCAGGACAAAATTAGTCACTGGATTTTTCTGTCAAGATAGATATATATGAGGAGTTAAAAAGTATTGGCTGTGTTTCACCCCCGTGCCTCGGAAAGCACGTAAAACCGTAGTTTGATGAACGCTTGATTTCTCCCCGGTCTTATCAGACTATAGTCTTATCAGATGATATATATAGATGACTTTTGATTAAAATTGAAAAAACGAGGGACAACAAACTTCTTAAAGTTGTGACGCTATGCTAAAAACTTTTTGAATAGACATTACAGGTTGTTACGATATCTATCATATTATATAAAAATAAGAACATAAGCATAAACATTTACACCTGTCACCCAGAGGGGTAGGCAGAGACCACTAGTATCTACGCATACATGCTCGTCGGTTAAGGGTACTTTTAACTTGGCCCATTTTCAAAATATCGCCAATTTGGTCGATAAACTTTTTCTAGGGCGTCCCTTCCCGATTCTGCCGTTCACATCTGCCATATAAATTTGCTCTGTCACTCTTTCCTCATTCATTCTTTCTACATGACCAAACCACCGAAGCATTCCTTTCTTAATCCTGGTCACAACATCATCTTGCATACCACATTTATCTCTTATCACGCAATTTCTCACCCTGTCATTCAGATTCAACCCTAGCATACTCCTTAAAGACCGCATTTCTACAGCATTTATTCTACTTTCGTGCTTCTTCTGCCACACCTAGCTTTCACTACCATACATTAAAGTAGGGACTAACACAGCATTATGAATTACCATACGTGCCTTTTTTGATGCATTCTGGTTCTTCACAGTAGAGTGAAATAAGAACATTATTCGCTATATTTTTAATCAAAATACCTTTATATATTTAACATTATTTGTTAATTAATATAAATATTTTGTTACATAAGAATGCAAAATACCACTATTTTATGGTATTACTACCATTTTATGTTTATACTTTTAAGGTACGTACGGCTATTCGAAAACTTCTTTTAGTACTAAGTAAGAATGTACCACGTAGTGGCTGTCAAGAGACGCATTTATGTAAAGGCTTTTATATGAAGTAGAGCCTTGTTGCAGCTATTATTGTTGTAGCATAAATGTGTCCGCCCGACTTGGAAAGGATCATAAATCCCACAATAGATAAGCGTAAAATAGAAGTTTAATTCTGCCGTATTTCGTATCGTTACGAGGTCACTTTTTACTGGAGATGAGGCATTCTAAGTCCTTGAAGGTAATGCATCTACTTTTTGATTTTTAATTAAGGATGGCTATAATTGTCTATAGGCCACAAAATTCACTTACCATCAGAAGAACTCTGTTCTCATTTGTTAGCCTTAATTTATAAATAAAGATATCACATAACCACCAAGCGTGGAAATTATCGGCAAATCCCAAGTTACAAGTAGTGCATGTCAGCTAATGCATCGTAAAAAAGGCTGCGAACGTGTAATTTGTTTTAACTTTTAAGTTATATCGACGGTGGAAAGGAAAAAATTACTAAGCGACATATAGGTAACTTTACAGGAGAGTCGATTAAAGTTTGAAATTTTGAAAAAAAATTCATTTAAATTGTACTGTTTATCTTACTGGTATGATTTGTATGTGTTTATTAAGATGTTTTGATCCTTATTTACCTGATGTAAATAAATCTCTGCTTTGGTTACGATTGCCGAAGTTAGTGTCGCTTAGTAAAAAATTAAATAAAAATACGGATGGGAAAAACCGACCAACCGCCAACCGACCCTTAATATAAGTACGGGAAAGAAGTAATAATCAATTACTTTCCAAGAATTTGAGAATGGAAAAAATACCTATATAATAAACCATAACTATGTTCAGGGATAAGTCACTTAACACTTCATGATTAATTAATTTTTGACAGGGATTTTTTTACCAGAGTACAAATTAAAATTAGATCTTGCCTCAAATTATTCAATGAAGTTCCTAGGTTTGACAAAAAAAAGTAGTATTTTTTATAAAGAATTCTTTATTAAGAAAAAACAATTATTAAATTTGGTGATTCAAAATCACGCTTACAAACCAAAACAACCTCTAAAAATAAAATAAAAAGTACACCAAGTATTACAAGGAACATATATCGTCACAGATCTTCGGTTTTATAAAAATTATATTAAGAAATCACATTTTGCAATTGTAATGCCAATCACTTAGAATTATTTAACAAACTGTAAACTTTGCAATATCTTTAAAATAATCAAATATTTTTCTTAGCATTACACCACAACATGTTATGTAATATTTATTTTTTGGCCAGCATTTTAACAGTTGTAAAACTATAATGGCTATTAATTTAATATAATTATAGGCACTTACATATATCAGTCTAAAATAATTACTAGAAATATAAATACTTAAAATAAATCATTATCCTTAAATATATTTATGTAAAAATATGAAGCCATTGATATTTCAATGATTGTTTTAAGTAACTATATCACAATGTTAATCATTAAATACTATGAATGTACCATAAAATTCTGTAAATATCAGTCAAAAATTCGTAATTATAATAACACTTACTGAATAGGTTTTCATTCATTGTTAAATCTAGATTTAGTTCTAAAATTCTTAGAACTTGAAGATTTCAGAGCTATGACATGGTAACTTAATATTTAAACTTAAATCAACTGCCAAATATTTTAAAGTAGCTTATACCTCAAGATCCTCAATATCTGATTCAGGTAATCTGTCCTTTTCTGTTTGTGAATGTGGAATGTTTAAGTACTCATGTTGAAAATGACCAGGTATAACTTTGTCCTTGCAAAGTTTAGCTAAGTCATCATATTTCAGCTTTGATATAGGTAGACATGATCGATAGCATGACATAAGAGGCACTCTGGTTTTTGACTGGATTTCAATTACACTTGCATTTCCAGATTGTGCCATAGTATACTTTACTGAAACAGATTCAGGCTTATTTTTTTTAAACGTTGCAATCCTTATTTTACTAATTTTTCCCGTCAAATTGCCCTTAAAATATTTTTCAGATATTGAGTCCCATTTATAAAAATCTTCAAAATGAAGATTTTCAAACCTCGTATGGAAATGGATCTTTCCTTGCCGTGCTAAATACGGTGTACCATTGCGATGGTGCATAAATGATTGTCTTCTTTAAATTAGTATCTATAACAGCATGTACACTATCGACAGGCATGTAAGTGTGACCGGTTAGTAAATAGTTTATTTGTACCGTTTCAAGATTTTAGCATTCTTGCAAAGTCGAGTGTATCATCGCCAAGACAACCCGGTTCCGATTTTGCCCTGGGCAGCAGTCGCAATAAAGGAGCAAGTTTTTTATGTTACCTCTTTCATCTACCAACTTTATATACCTATTTAAAATACTGGCTATCTCGTTAGCACCCCTTTTTGCCATCATTTTCATTCCAATAAAAGCAGAATACTCTGCGAGTACCATTCTCATAGAAGCACAAATTATAGACCGCTAATTTACGCGAGTAATACAACAGCATGGACTCGCCGTGTGGAGTATTTAGAACCTTTTCTAGATCGAAACTTACGCATAGAGTATTAGGATCAATTTTATGGATGTTTTTGTGAGCAAAAAAACGGTTGTAGCTCTCATTTTTCTCATTTTCATGAGCAACTTTTTTTTTCCGCATTAACTGGATCTGTAGTATGTGACCGCTCAAATTTTAAACATTTCATACACTTGTCTTTTTAGGCACGTGAAAACCTATGTTGAATTCCTCTGTAAAAATTCTACGAAATACTTTTTCACTAACAAAATCAACACCGTCGCCCTCCAAACGTTTTTTATAAATGCTGTAGACATTTGGAATATTTTTAAATTCTTGCGGAAGGTAGACTCGGGAGGAATCATGGCGACAATAACGAGACGGTACTGCCGGTAAACTTTTAATAAATTTCACAACGTTCTCAATGGTATCTGGTTTTGTTTTATTCGGTGGTATACATTTTCCGCGTAAATCTTCCTTAGCACAGCCCCATTCAGAGTTCTTGACCGTATGGTAGATAGATTTTGCTGAAATGTCTAATGTAGCAGCCAAGAATTGCAAGCATACTACCCGCCTTCCTTCTCCTTCATTGATGTGGTATTTAAAAGTATTAACACGGGTGTCTGAGTTGGTACGTTTACGTTTTACAGCTAGTTTTTGTGTTAAATTAACCAACCAGTCTCGTCGGCGGTCTACTGTCAGTTTCCAAAAATGATCGAACACCTGCTGTCTTCTCTCATCCGAAATATTTTCGCAATTATTGCCACATTTTTTTCCACTACTTGGATTGGGTTGAAGACATTTAGCATTTACAGTTTTACCATCCTTTCGTACATATTCCTCGCCCTTGAATCGTTTTTGTTGTCGTTCTTTCTTTGAATTTTTCTTCTCCTTTCTAAAACCTTCTTCACCTACAATTGGTTCTTCTTGTATAATAACAACTACCTTTTTCTTCTGCTTAGATTTAGAGTTTTTCTTCTTCTTTGTCCTAATATCACCTACATCATCGTTTTCTGACGTCTCTGATCCCGACCATTCATCTGAATCCAAATCAGCCCCATCGCAATTAAAAAATGTAAAAAAATCTTCATCATCGGATAAGTAGTCAATATAACGTTTATTAGTTTTACAATTACGTTTACGACCTCGTCGTTTTACTGCTTTCGAATCCCCATAACGAAAGCCTTCATCAACTGTCAAATTCGTCGAAATGGTACTTGGTGTAATGGTGCTTCGAGTCTGCTCATTTGGTGTATTCAACCCATTATCGGCGATTTGGTTGGAGTTTAGAGTTGACGTACCTGGGATTTCCACGTGTGCATAATCTATATTTATTGGACCTTCACTGTAAACCTTTTCAATTTCTTCAAAAACGGTAAGTGCCTTTGATCTCGTACTTGCAACTGGGCTTGTCGATGCACTTATCAGCATTTCATCCTAAAATAGTGCAAATTTATATAATACTGTATAACATCATAATTGCTACCTACCTGTCCCATTCCGACTTTCAATATAAAAGTAATAAAAAAAATAATTGCTATGTATGTAAGATTAAAAATGTTTCTGATCAGCTTTTTACGCCAAAATTCACGCGCACTGTACGGACTTTATTTATTGCAATACGAATCGCTTACGATGTGTCAGCACACATAGATGTCGACACGTTTGATGTAAGTACGTATGTTCGTACGTGTTGCGCGCGTGGATGCTTGGCTAGGATAGGACAGTATCGGATAGATGATAAGTTATAAAATTTGATAGGTAGGAATATACATACCGGTGCATCATTCAACGGTTCAATCATTTCAAACAAAAAGCTTTCTGCATACTTGCTTCTTGAGATTTTTCCGGTTCATACCTTTTTTATTTGCGGTCACATGCTCACCATAATCATCTTGTATGGGTAAATAGTCCTGTATAGAAAATCAAAACTATGTTATTGTCAAAATAAAGTTAATTATAAGTTAATCTTTAAGATATTAGGAGATAACTTACAGAGGTTTTATTATCATTTAGCGAAGTATTTGGACTGATATCTGCATTCATTAAAGCTAGGTCTATTAATTTCGATGAACGCAGTTTTTGTCGATCCATTATTCTAAAACATAGATTAAAACACGTAAAATAAAAATAACTCAAATATTATTACAACATAAGAAAAATATGTAACACGTTAAATAAAAATAATTACCGGTTATCTAGTCTAAGCGGCGAGTCATCGGGATGCGCGGTGACACACGTGTTGACTAAGCGACAGCTTGCCGCGCAATGATTCAATTTTTTGTTCCTCACGGCCACTCGAATATTAAATCACAGCCTGACTACACGACAGTGCAAGATCAACGCGAAAAACTCAACCGACGTTTTATTAAAAAAAGCTTTCTGGGAGAGATATCTTAACGCCAAAAAATATTTCACAACGGCAGGTCACATTTATCTAAGCGACAAAATTATAGAAAGGAAAAATATCACTAAACGACATATTTTTTGTTAATAAGAACTGGTAAAAAATATCCAAATGACAAAACGTTTATATTAAGGACAGGTAAAAAGGTAAGAGGTTGCAAAAAAATAAAATTTTTAAGCGGTAAGAATTAGCTAAATAAATAATTATTTTTTCATAAGCTCGGGAAAAAGTAACTTAAAGCCAAAATAGTTTAAACCAAAAACAGGATATATTTACTAAGTAGGAATACAGTAAAGTACAAAATGTCCTAAACGTAATATTTTTTAAAATGAACAAAATTTTCGTCGGTTGGTCGCCGAAAACTCCGAAAAACCCACGAATTTTAAAATTACTAAACGACATAAAATTCATCGCAGGAGAATGAGAGTAGGACCAATCGACGCAGAAAAAAAAAGAAAGGAAGGAAGGAGCTGGTACCTCGGCCTAGAGATGAGAACAATGTTCCATGTAAGGCCAAACTTGTGCTTTGTAAAGTTGCAGGCGATGTGCCGACATGAAATACTATCCCACTCTGCTGAGTTTTTAGACGCCGATTTGGCCTTTCCTTCCAAGTGACCACAAAATTGCGTACTATTCGATATGTAGACGCCGAGGATTCTGATTCTGGCTGAGGCAACAAGGGCAATGCCTTAAAACTGAGAATATATGACAAGGGGTTTCTTTTTAGCGGTAACCGCGCAAACTTGTGTCTTCTGGGGATTAAAATGGACTAGATTTAGTCGCCCCCAATCCGAGACTTTATTCAGCAAAGACTCGACTTCAGACACTGTTCCGGTACTCGAAGACGTTTTCCTGAGAAATAATGGCACGGCCGGTGTATAAGGCATCACCAGTGCTGTCGTCCGCATAGATAGAACGCAGCCTTTTGGGACACTAGCGTTAATAGGTTGTATTCAGAGCATCATGCGCCGTTTCTTGACACTCCGATCATCAAGAAAATTGGTGATTCAGCTGCACAATTTTTATGTGAGCTCATTAGAAGGGAGCTTCGAAAGGAGCGCTTTGTGCCAGATCCAATCGAAGGTCTTTGCTATGTCCAAACCAGCAGTCAAAACTTCCCCCTTTAACTCTACTATCTCCGCCCATCTACAAGTTTGGTAGACTAGAAGATCAGCACGTGGTCGACACCGACGAAACCCGTATTGGTGGTAACTAATCTGCTGGTGATCCTCAAGGTACCTCATGAACTGTCAATTTATATTGGGTTCCATTATTTTGAAGAACAAGGAGTTGATGGCGGTGTAGTTGGACGGATCTTAGCGGTTGTCTATTTTTGGCATCGGGTGATCATAGCTGTCTTCCATGAATTTGTAACTACGTCTTGGGAGTAGGAGTACCGGAAAAGACACATTAAAACCGGTGCATACTTTGAAACATACGTCTTCAGCACAATGGAGGTGATTCTATCAGGTCCACTCGACTTGTGGACGTCCTACTGTGTCTGTGTCCGGACTGTGTGAATCGCATATCAGGCAAAGAGCACTTATATCGTGGAATGATCGGAGGTGTGTTCCCCCTATATCGAGTGTCGAGTTGGACGCTAAAAGGGAGCCTAAAAGATCAGCTTTCTCTTTTGCGGCGTAGACCAGTGAGTTATCGTCCTTGTGCATTGATGGTAATGATGGCTTACAGAAATCCCCTTGGAAAATCTTGGCGATAGATCTATTTCTGAAGGAAGCCGAACTAATTTCTCGGAAATTCAGCCAATATGTACATAACTTGCGTTAACAATTACGCATTTAAGGGACCTGTAGGCGACGTGAAGACTGTTATAATTCTTGTTAAGCTTTCCGGTGTTTACATCTCGAGCCGCCGAATCGTAAGCCCAAGTCTGATAACATTCCTGCTGACTGCGTAATGTAGTCTTACAGGAGTGATCAAACCAAGGTTGGGATCTGCTTCCGATGGGTACCACAGATGAGTGTATTAATAGTTCCATTCCCACTATTCCAGTTCCATTCTACTAAGTCACTGAATTCTTCTCCTGTCGTCGCCGAATTATTACTTAAACAAAATGTAAATGTGTGTACAAAGAATTTAACATTTCAAAAAGTGTCATCAAAAGATATTGTAAAATATTTTAAGACTATTGATATTAAGAGAACCGCCGATCTGTGGGGGATTTCTGTTAAAGTTATTGCGTCTATAATAGATATAATCGCACCTCAACTATCTATTATTTTTAATACTAGTGTCGAGTCTGGTGTGTTTCCTGATTTAATGAAGCATAGTAAAGTAATACCTTTATTTAAATCTGGTAGTACATTGGACCCCGCTAATTTTAGACCTATTTCTGTACTGCCAACACTTAGTAAAATTTTTGAAAAAATTATTCTTGATCAAATGTTAAATTTTTTTAATGTAAATAATTTACTTCATAAAAATCAATTTAGTTTCACAAGGTGTCGCTCAACAACTGATGCTGGTGTTGAGCTGATTAAATATATATTTAATGCATGGGGGAATTCACAGGATGATTTGGGTATATTCTGTGACCTATCCAAAGCCTTCGATTGTGTTCACCATGAAACATTAATCAGGAAACTTCAACACTACGGTGTAAGAAGAGATGCTCTTAAATTAATTATTTCATATTTTAGTGACAGAAGGCAAAAAGTTGTCATCAATAGTATGAGTTCTTCCGGGTCGATTGTACAAATGGGCGAGCCTCAGGGCTCAATTCTCGGCTCCTTTCTGTTTCTTGTATATATTAATGACTTACCTTACATAGTAGGGGATAACCATGATATAGTATTATTTGCTGATGATACTTCATTAATTTTCAAATTAAAACGACAGTTATTAAATTACGACGAAGTAAATAATGCTATAGCTAAGTTAGTCAATTGGTTTAATGTTAATAATTTGCATTTGAATGGAACTAAATCTAAATGTATAAAATTCGTCACTTCTAATGTTAAACATGTCAATACTAATGTAATTTTAAATGGGGACTGAGTCTTGGTGATACCACCATTTTTCTTGGAATCACACTGAACGCAAAGCTTCAATGGCTCCCCCATATATCAAAACTAGCTAGTAGACTTAGTTCTGCAGCATATGCTGTAAAAAAGATTAGAACTCTTACCAGTGTTGAAACAGCTAGAATAGTTTACTTTAGTTATTTCCATAGCATTATGTCGTATGTTGTTTTGCTATGGGGATACGCGACTGACACTGAAATTATATTTATTTTGCAGAAGAGGGCCATTAGAGCAATATATAATTTAAAACCAAAAGAGTCACTGAGACAAAAATTTAAGGAAATCAATATATTAACTCCGGCCTCTCAATACATTTATGAACATGTAATGTACGTACACAAAAATAAAATTAGTTTTGCGAACATAAGTGATATTCATTCTGTAAATACTAGGAGCAGACACAAGCTAGTAGTACCAGTTACTCGACTCCACCGAGTCAGTAATTCATTCTTAGGGCGATGTATACGCTTTTACAACAAAATCCCAGAAAAGATACAAAATTTGTCATACACAAAGTTCAAAAATGTTATTAACCTAAGTTTGTATAAAAAGGGTAAGGTATCTAGGATAATAACCCCTGGGAAGGGTGATCACTACAAAGCTATTTCTAATTTGTCTTGTGCTGTTAATTGTAAACATGATTGTAAACTATTGTTGGAAAAATAATAGTAGTAGTAGGTTTTTTTTGCGAACCAGTGGTAAATGAAAAAAGTGACTTTCAATAAGTATTGTTATAATCTACATTGAATAAAAAAGTTTCTGTTTCTGTTTCTGATTCCCTGTGGTACTCCATCAGTGACAGAGTTCACAGTTCAACAGTTCTGAGATCATTCAGCGAGAAGCAAACCATAGGACTGCATTCCGTTCCAATCCACCTACTTGTAACGCCAACCACGGCTACAGTATGCACAACGCAACCTCGAAGTGAACGCGAGTGGCATCATACTCTGGATCAGACAATGATCCGAGAAGCCGAGAGG